TTTCTTGTGCCACCTTAGGGCACTGCCTTGCCAAGTGGACCCCACTGCCAGAAATGTGACACTGCCGGCCCCCCCCCCCCCCCATATGACCTCTTTTTTGGAAAGTAGACACCAAGATATTTGCTCAGAGACGTGGCGAGTATTTTGCAGATCTCATTTGTTGCCACAAGTTGTTGGAAAATTAAAACATTTTTTCTTTTCTTTTATTTTTCAAAACCCTGTGACAAAAATATCCGAAAAATACTCACCATGCCTCTTATCAAATTCCTTGGGGTGTCTTTCCAAAAAGGGGAAATATGCCCTTTGAAAGCCTGGAGGTGGTCATTGGATTTTGGGGGCGTGTATGTGGCTAGCCAAAAAGTCTCTCACATGTGGTATCCCAATAATCGAGAGAAGTAGCAGAATGTGTTTTTAGGGTGTTATGACACATATACCCATGGCATGCATGAGCAATATTTCATTTGAATGACAACAAAAAAATAAAATGTTCCATGGACTCAACATGCCTCTTAACAAATTCCTTGGGGGTCATTTGGGAGGTTTTTGTACTTCCCTGGCATTTTAGCACCTTGAGAAATGTGATAGGCAGCCAGAAAGTGAAAGCTGTGTAAATTCCAATATATATACTGTACACTAGTTTTATAGATGCTTTAACTTTCACACAAACCAATTAACCACTTTCCCTCCACCCTATAGCAGTTTTACTGCTACAGGGCAGTAATACACATGTGCAAAATCATGTGTATTAACATCATTTTGCATTTCCACTACATGGGATCGTACACAGCTGATCACCTGGTAAGGAGCCTACGTCATCGGCGCTTTACCACGATCGGTGATCCGCTGTGCAGGGAGCGTGCATGCGCGGCTAGAGTGGAAGGACGTCATATGATATGGTGTACTCCCAGAACAAGAGAGCTCCCGCCTGTCCGTCATTTGTCATCACGGTGGGCGTGAGGTGGTTAACGGCTGACTCCATCTTTGTGATCATATTTAGTATTAAACTCATATTTAGGGTGTAACATGAAGCGAGAGGCCCAATCCTGAAAAGCGCACCTTCCTTATAAGAGAGGTTCTTCTCCCCAGCAGCTCCTGTCAAATTTGAAACTGGCACAACTATGTGTGGGTCCACCCGCACAACCGTATCATTCATTAATTCACAGGAAATTGTGAATGGAAATCCATCACAGCAGAGGGACTCATAGTTATCAATGGAACACAAAGTGCGATGACCTCCCCAAACAGTCAAGTGAAACTACCTGCAGCCCTGTAACCAAAGGGTCCATGCCTAGGTACAGACTGGCGGTTGTGCAAGGACTGCGATCCACTCATCCATGAATGACATGCTTTCCAGGCTCCTTATGTGTGTGAAAGAAAAAGTTGTTTTCTTCCTTGTGTTTTATTTAAGCGTATCACCCTTCATCTATAGGCTCTGGTTGAAGATCTGTTTTCCTGTTGATGTTGAAAAAACAGCAATTTACATTATTTGCTTTCTGTTTAATGGCAATATTCATTATTGGTGTAATGCTACAGCTGTCCCATGTGGGCTCTAAGCCTGAGAACTGAGCGATCACATGACTGCTGATCACTCAGTTCTTGGTCTGCACAGACTATCACTGCTCTTAGCTCGGTTGCTCCAGTGCTCGCTGGAGCACTGGAAAGTGGGTGGATGCTGTCAACCTCACGCTGAGAGCCAGCTGCCAGGCAGCTTGGTGGATCCCAGCAATATTGTTGGAATCTTTTCAGAACCTGGAACAGCTCTACTGTCAGTCAGGTCTGGGTCACAGGAGTAAAAGAGGAAGTGCAGACCAGTGACCTACAAGAGAAGTATGGCCAAAAAGCTTTGGCCATACTTCTTTTAAGTGGCTTTAATATTCCTGTTGTTTGGACCTTTAAAACCACTGTGCTAATTTCTTTTTTTTTTTTTTTTTTCTTAAGGTGTTGAACAGATTGACATTTGCATCAACTCTTTCGCACTTGCGAAGATTAAACTCGCCTATTGGTAGAGATGGTAAACTTGCCAAACCGAGACAGTTACATAACACCTTATGGGGAATGGTATGCCCTGCGGAGACTCCTGAGGTAATACCAGTACTTACTCTCTGGTGGTTTGTATATTTTCCCAAATTGTTTCACGGTTCATTTAAATAATGTTTAATTCTAGTTTTGATGAAAACTTATTATGAGACAAGTCTTTAGTCTGTCAGGATTCTATTTTTTATTAAAGCTGAACTCCAGGATAAACATAATTGTCTAAATACATGAGGCATATGTATTAGTTGAATCTTGGTGTACTTTGTGTATTTCTTCCAGATCTGTGCTGTAATCCAGCGTGCTTCTGTCCAGGTGTTTCCTGCAATAAAGACTGGTCACTGCTGCTTTCTGTCATTGTGCAGGGAGACTTGTCTGGTCTCCACCCCCTTACTGTATTTTTTTGCAGGCAACCTGTAGTAGATGGAGTTCGTAGGTTCCTCCCACAGCTCTGCTTTCTGTACTTGCTGTATGTGGAGCACAGAAATGATGAAACTGCTACTTTTGCAAAGTAATTTCTGGCGGGGGAGTTGCAAAGGCATTTGGTACACACAAAGTGGATTCATATCGTTTGTGACTGTTGAGGAATATCTTTGTTCTGATTTCTTGTGAAAAATGTGAAAACTCAAAATTGATTAGAGATATTGTACAACAGTGCGAATGCACTTTCCACCATTGGTATATTACAGGGGATATAAAGGGAATAATTATGCAGAAAAAGAGAAAAAAAAACAGAACTGCTCTCCATTACAATTAGGAAATGTATAAAGCTACTGCTACCACCCAAGAGTGGTTAAGAGGACGTGCCCAAAATAGTTTAATATCTATAAGAATATGTTATAGAACCAGTATTAAACCATATACATAAAGAGCATATGCCAATGTCTTGGGTGGCACAAGTACTGGTACAGACATCTGTAGTCATTACTATGCGGTGAGTAGCATACTGCTTGGTGAGATCTACTTATCCTGTACATTGGCAACTGGAAATCAATCGGTATGCAAGTAATGTATAAAGGAGAGAGAAAAGGTGTACAGTGTGAGATAAAGTAAAGAGAGGGAGGGAAGAAGAAGAAAAGGGGGAGGGAGGCTAAGGGATTGAGGGGCCCAAGCGCTACGGTGGAACGAAGCCAGGGTGTCTAATAGATATTGGCAGTCAGTAGAACACCAGCTCAAACATAAGAGGCGAACTTCAGAGAATGCAGGAAGCATTTCCAAAACCAACTATGTTTGAGAAATATATTTAAGTGTGTTTTTTGTGCTTGTCACATAATGTCCCTATTTGAGCTATTTTTGCACCCATTTTCAGATTTTCTGATCTGCCAAAGAGATGAATAGGTAGCCTGAGAATTTGCAGTATTTTGTGTGGTGTAATCGAAGAATGTAGGTAGTAATCACCTTTCCAACTGCTCCGTTTCCACCACCCCCCTCTGCCAATCCCTCCACTGGCTTCCGATTGCGCAATGGATCAAATTCAAAATCCTAACACTGACGTACAAAGCTGTCCACCATACTGCCCCGAACTACATCACTGACCTAATATCCAAGTACCGCCCAGCACGCACACTCCGCTCCTCACAAGACCTCCTTCTCTCTAGTTCCCTGGTCTTCTCCTCCCATGCCCGCCTCCAGGACTTCTCCAGGGTGTCACCCATCCTCTGGAACTCCCTGCCCCAACCAATCAGATTATCACCTACTCTCCTCTCCTTTAGGCGCACCCTGAAAACCCATCTCCTCAGGGAAGCCTACCCCACCCCCTGTTAACTTGCCGACCTCCTCCACTCTTCCTACCACTTCATCCCCCACAGCTATCTCCTCCTGTATCACTATCCCCTCCCTCCTAGATTGTAAGCTCGAAAGAGCAGGGCCCTCAATCCCCTTATGTTTTGTATTGGTTTTGTTTTGTCACATGTTCTGTCCCCCTTTGTAATGTACAGCGCAGAGTGAACTATTGGCGCTTTATAAATACTGTATAATAATCAAAGAATGTACGTATTTTCAAATAAAATTTTAGATGGGCATCTTGGCAAACACAAACAGGGACACGAGAATGTTAGTGACTTAATTGCATACGTACACTCACTCAGAGGTTGGACTGGTGTTTCTAACAATGTAGGAATTCTAGCTAACATCCAGGATATGCTTAAAAATTTTGGGTGCTGCGGTAATGGGCCCTTCCCCATGGCAGGTCAGCCACTTTGTTATGGATTCTTCACATGCTAAATTGTTTTTTTTTTTTTTTTTTTTTTTCACTAGTTAGTGTTTACTTGGTTCCTGCCTGGCCAATAGCAGATTGACTGGTCAAGCCGCCTGTTCTTTCCTCCGGGGTGGTGGGGGGATGCACGCAGAGTTGCGATCAGTGGTGAGCCTTGGACAAAAAAATGTCCCCTGTATCAGGAATGCCGAGATTGGACACAGCGCATGACGTTGGCTCTACCATGTGATCAGCTGGGTCCAATCTCAGGTTTCCTGAGATAAGGGACATTTGCACTGATCAGTGCAGCCCTTCAGTGCACATCAGTGAAGAAGAAAATTTACTTATTTTGCACATTTTTATAACAAACTAAAAAAGGGTGTGTGTGTTTTTTTTTCCGTTTGTTTTATTGTACATATAATATACATATTAAGTGTTTCAAATTCATGGCTACCAACAGAAAAATTTAAAAAATTGAGATTTGAGCTACGTAATGTTAGTTTTCACAGCATTTTCACGCATTATGGCAGTTTTACCTAACGAATTATCCCCTCTCAATACTAGGCTGTCAGCTCCCACTCATGAAAGCAATCCAGCGGCTAATTAGCAGCTACGATTGTTTTTACATGAAAGCCAACCTCCAGCTGTAAAAAAAAATCTTTGTGTGATCAGATGCTTTAGGGGCAGAGGAAAGATCTAGAGCAGTGATGGCGAACCCGTGGCATGCGTGCCACAGCCGGCACGCCGAGCCTTATCTGTGGGCACGCCAGGAGAATACCGTATTTTTCGCTCCATAAAACGCACTTTTTTTCCCCCAAAAAAGGGGGGAAAATGTCAGTGCGTCTTATGGAGCGAATATAGAGCGGCCGGTCTGGTATTTCCACCGCCGCCGTGTCAGAATACCGGGCCGGCCGCTCAGCTCTGCAGTGGGACCGTACCTGTCCCTCTATCCAGCGGCGCGCTGTCTTCCCGGCTTCTGTAGTGTGCCTGACAGCCGGGTCCCAAGTGCGCATGCGCAAGAAGCAGTGCTCTTTGTGAATGGTAAGGCGGTACCTGGGACACATGACAGATCCCAGAAGCCGCCGGACCAATCACAAAGCGCAGCGCTTCTCGCGCATGCGCACTGGGCATCCGGTTGTCCGACGAGCACCCACACTACAGAAGCTGGGAAGACAGCGCGCGGCTGGATAAAGGAACAGGTAAGATAAAAAAAAAACTCTGCGGAAGTAAGAGCGGGTACCTGTCAAATTCAGGTACCCGCTCCCCCTCCCTCCCCAAAGGTCAGCAGTCATCTGTACTGTCCGCAGTCTCTGGTCATCCCTGTGCTTTCCGCAGTCTCTGGTCATCCCTGTGCTTTCCGCAGTCTCTGGTCATCTCCTGTACTGTCCGCAGTCTCTGGTCATCCCTGTACTGTCCGCAGTCTCTGGTCATCCCTGTACTGTCCGCAGTCTCTGGTCATCCCCTGTACTGTGTCTGCAGTCTCTGGTCATCTCCTGTACTGTGTCTGCAGTCTCTGGTCATCTCCTGTACTGTGTCTGCAGTCTCTGGTCATCTCCTGTACTGTGTCTGCAGTCTCTGGTCATCTCCTGTACTGTGTCTGCAGTCTCTGGTCATCTCCTGTACTGTGTCTGCAGTCTCTGGTCATCTCCTGAACTGTGTCTGCAGTCTCTGGTCATCTCCTGTACTGTGTCTGCAGTCTCTGGTCATCTCCTGTACTGTGTCTGCAGTCTCTGGTCATCCCTGTACTGTGTCCGCAGTCTCTGGTCATCCCTGTACTGTGTCCGCAGTCTCTGGTCATCCCTGTACTGTCCGCAGTCTCTGGTCATCCCTGTACTGTTAATTAGTTTGCACTACTGTACGAGTTGTTTTTTCTAAACCAAAAGCTCGATATTCAGGTTTCATTGCAGTGTTGGCACTTTGAAAGAAATAAGTTGGTTTTGGGTTGCAGTTTGGGCACTCGGGCTCAAAAAGGTTCGCCATCACTGATCTAGAGTCTAATAGACCCCAGATTTCTCAGAAAATAGTACCTGTCAACGCCTATGGCTATCACAAAGGATATTTTATATTCCCTGTGATAATAAAAGTAAAAAGAAAAATGAAAGGTACAGAGTAAAAATAATTAGAAAAAAAAAGCAAAATACAGTAAATGATTACAAAAATATAAAATTCACCATCCCGTGGTCACGCGCAAAGGCAAACGCAAGCGGCAATATGTAAACAGAATACAGCATGCATGTGAGGAATCACTGCGAACATCAGAGGGCATTAATTCTAGCACTAAACCTCCTGTGTAATTATAAACTAGTGACCTGTAAAGGCTTTTAAAGCATTGCCTATTCATATTAAAAATGTACGTAATGTGTCACCGTTGCACAGGAGTGCGCAATTTTAAAACCTTTCATGTTTGATAGTATATAAAAAATTGTTACGCTGAGTAAATGGATACCAAACAGTTGGGCAATATATTCTGTTTTTGTGCATTAAAATTCTAAAAAGTTTTGCGTTTGAAAAATCGCTGTGACATAAAAAAATGCCACCCACCGTTTTATTCTCTAGGGTCTTTGCTTTTAAAAAATGTTTGGGAGCTCAAAGTAATTTTTTAGCAAAGGAAGGTTTTTCAAGTAAACAAAGTGTCAGAAAAGGCTTTGTCTTCAAGTGGTTAGAAAAGTGGCTTGGGTAGGAGGGTGCAGAGTGATCCGACCCAGCTTCTTTTCTTGAAAACGTCCTGTGCTCCACCTATGGCAGGACTGCGTTCTCCAACATATTCGTGGTGGAGAGAGCTCACTGCATGCCTGCATGGCCACAATCACAAGGAGCACCACCACGTACCTTCATAGCTACACTCAACTATCGAGATGCTGTCCTTCATCTGGCAAGAGAAAAAGGTAACATTCCCTTTCAGAATGTCAGTGGCTGCTTTCCCTGACTTCTCAGCGAAGTTGCAGCAGCGAAGATCCCACTTTGATTCTGTTAAAAAATGCCTCCGCATACACCGTCTCAAGTACGACATGTTGTATCCTGCCAAGCTCCATCTGGAGGCAGAAGACCGTGTCCACTTCTTTGAAGACCTCAACCTGGCGTCCACTTGACTTGATCAGTGGTCCACTACAGAACTGTGCTTGAACTGTGACTGGCAGTCTCTTCGTAAGTACCTCCTTGCATTTTCATGCTTATCTACTAAAGTTGATCGCATCTTGCAGGATCCGGCAATTTATCTTTAATTGCCCCCCTTCTCCACATGGCTGGATCTCAGACCATGGCTTGTCACCAGCCATCTGTTTCTGTGCACCCAACCTGGAGAATATATACATCTTATGCCACTCCAGTCTGCGTGGACCAGTTGCACCCGCTTCTCATCCAGATCTCCTGCTCATGTATCCTGCTATTTCCCCCCCCATCCCATATAGGTTTCCCCCACTGGAACTTCTCTCTATTCGGATACCATCTCGCATGATCATTAACATCTATCTGAAGATCTCTCCTCGGTCATGGATGTCACTGCTACTTTAGCACTCCTTAAGTTACATCTTAAGGACTTATTGTGTGCCTCACTCAGTAGCCCACCAGTGAGAAGTTACCCCTTCCCTACAGTTTAGAGTATCAGGTTTGCGGATCCACGGGGTTGGAGTGGATACAATAGTTAGACATTGCTGACTCAAGAGTTTGAACATAATGTTGTCTGCTCTTAGTTTTGAGTTGTATGCTTCGGCCAAGTTGGGGAAGTCGGGAGCTGGGCAGGAGGTGAACTACACAAAGTTCTTTATTGCAGTGTACTTATATTTTTCTGTACCTTTACTGTTACTGGTTATACGAAGTCTTAGTCCAAGATGATACATACAGTGCTCAGCATAAATGAGTACAACCCTTTTGAAAAGTAAGATTATTTTAGAATCAATATCTCAATGAACTCAAGAATAATTTCCACAATTTTGAAAGCTACAATCACCTCAAGCACAATTTTGACACAACTGAGTTTTATAGAACATTTGTTTAGCTCCTTACATGAAAGTAAGGTAAATCATATAACTTGGATTACAAAATCTTTAGTTTTACTCAAATTAGCTGATGCAAAAATGAATACACCCCACAATATACAACCCCGCTACTACATCTAGTATTTTGTTTGACCTTCATGATTTGTAAGGACAGTACCCAGTCATCTGTGCATGGAATGAACAAGTTGGCAACATATTGTAACATCTTTCTTTTACAGTTCTTCAGGAATGACTTCTGTTAGAGCCTGGATTCTGGATGGAGAGTGATGCTCAACTTGTCTCTTCAGAATTCCCTATAGGGGAGGGGCCAGAACATGATGTTGGGCTGGAGCCAGGTGTGGGAGCTCCCGATGCCTCCAGCTGAACTTTGGAGAGCTCTTTGATCCCCTCTCACCTGCCTCTTGTCAGACTCCTGTGTGGGCTCTGGATGTGCAGACAGCCGACTGGGGAGGAGAAAGTAATGGTTTGAGGCTGGCTGTGAAGCGGAGGATGCCGGGTGCATCCACAGGATCGAAGGGGTGTACCCTGGGAGCTGCTGCACGCTGACCATCGGAGGGGAGACTGGTGCTAGGCTTAGGAACAGTGATAGAAGCAGCTCTGGCGGTGAACGCTCTGTGCACAGCGGAGGAGCGGAGACCACAGAGAAAACCAATAGTAGTCAGTCCCATGGATGGTGACCCCCTTACAATCAGAGACCAGTGGCCCTGGTGAGTAATGACACCTGCTTTCTGACATCTTAATTGACACAGCTTACTTATAAATGAGAAGTAGATGTCAAGACATATTAACCATTTGCCGCCCGCTCTATGGCTGAATGGCGGGCGGCAAATGTCATCAGCGTTCCGGGTGGACGCCATATGGCCGATACTCAGAACCCAAAACAAGAAAAAAAAATATTCTGAACCAATGGACTGCAGACACCGTACAGGGGATAACCAGAGACTGCGGACACCGTACAGGAGATGACCAGAGACTGCGGACACCGTACAGGAGATGACCAGAGACTGCGGACACCGTACAGGAGATGACCAGAGACTGCGGACACCGTACAGGAGATGACCAGAGACTGCGGACACCGTACAGGAGATGACCAGAGACTGCGGACACAGCACAGGAGATGACCAGAGACTGCGGACACAGCACAGGAGATGACCAGAGACTGCGGACACAGCACAGGAGATGACCAGAGACTGCGGACACAGCACAGGAGATGACCAGAGACTGCGGACACAGCACAGGAGATGACCAGAGACTGCGGACACAGCACAGGAGATGACCAGAGACTGCGGACACAGCACAGGAGATGACCAGAGACTGCGGACACAGCACAGGAGATGACCAGAGACTGCGGACACAGCACAGGAGATGACCAGAGACTGCGGACACAGCACAGGAGATGACCAGAGACTGCGGACACAGCACAGGAGATGACCAGAGACTGCGGACACAGCACAGGAGATGACCAGAGACTGCGGACACAGCACAGGAGATGACCAGAGACTGCGGACACAGCACAGGAGATGACCAGAGACTGCGGACACAGCACAGGAGATGACCAGAGACTGCGGACACAGCACAGGAGATGACCAGAGACTGCGGACACAGCACAGGAGATGACCAGAGACTGCGGACACAGCACAGGAGATGACCAGAGACTGCGGACACAGCACAGGAGATGACCAGAGACTGCGGACACAGCACAGGAGATGACCAGAGACTGCGGACACAGCACAGGAGATGACCAGAGACTGCGGACACAGCACAGGAGATGACCAGAGACTGCGGACACAGCACAGGAGATGACCAGAGACTGCGGACACAGCACAGGAGATGACCAGAGACTGCGGACACAGCACAGGAGATGACCAGAGACTGCGGGCACAGCACAGGGGATGACCAGAGACTGCGGGCACAGCACAGGGGATGACCAGAGACTGCGGGCACAGCACAGGGGATGACCAGAGACTGCGGGCACAGCACAGGGGATGACCAGAGACTGCGGGCACAGTACAGGGGATGACCAGAGACTGCAGACCTTTGGGGAGGGCGAGCGGGTACCTGAATTTGACAGGTACCCGCTCCCACTTCCGCGGAGTTGTCCTTCCCTCTTCTTCCCGGGCCGGCTTCTGTGACAGCCGGGTGCCCACTGCGCATGCGCGAGAAGCGCTGCGCTTTGTGAATGGCCCGGCGCCTTCTGGGACCTGTCATGTGTCCCAGAAGACACCGGATCATTCACAAAGCGCAGCACATGCGCAGTGGGCACCCGGCTGTCACAGAAGCCAGCGTGGGAAGACTGTGCAGCGCTGGAGCGTGGAACAGGTAAGGCCCTGCAGGAGAGAACAGCTGAGCGGCCGGCCCGGTATTCTGACATGGTGGCGGCAGAAATACCGGACCGGCCGCTTTTATATTCGCTCCATAAGACGCACTGACATTTTCCCCCCTTTTTTTGGGGGAAAAAAGTGCGTCTTATGGAGCGAAAAATACAGTAACTTTGAGTCTTTATTTTGTTTATAGCGTGAAAAATAAGCGCACAGGTGATCAAATACCACCAAAAGAAAGCTCTATTTGTGTGAAAAAAAGGACATACATTTTCGTTTTGAAGTAGCATTGCATGACCACGCAATTATCAGTTGAATTAGTGCAGCGCCGAGTAGCAAAAAGAGGCCTGGTCATTAAGGGGGGTGAATCCTCAAGGGGAGCAAGTGGTTAAGAAGCTACATGTGGGGTCCTGGGTAAAGCAACAAGTAAAGGAGGGGGTTCTGAAGAAAAGAGGCTGATCCCGATATGATGTTTTTCTCACAGTTGGAGGAGAGTGAATATTCGTTTGGACTTTATCATTTAACCTGAAAAACTTAAAGGGAAAGAAGGAGGGAAAAAAGAGAAGAAAAAGGTAAATTACCGGAAGCCTAAAGTTAAAATGTTATAGGGATGTAAAAGCAAAAGAAAAGCATTAGCAACAGCGTGATATGAAGAGTAGATGGGCAAAATGAGGACGAAAAACCCCCCCCCCCAAATGAGCTTGATCAATAAATATCTGCCCCCACAAGAAAAAAGTCCAGAGGGTCACACTCCAGAGAGATATCAGGAAGCAAGGGGGCGACATGAGAGAAGTAACAAAGAAGATCAAAATAGACTGTTGCTAGTATCGTCAAATCCAGATCAATTGAAAGAACTGATTAATATGGGAAGCGGGGGGACTCTAGAGACATGGAGGAACAAGGTCTAACTCTGCAAATACCTACGAAAACAAATATTGCAGAGATATTTGCAAAATTGGAGACCTCCATAAAGAACGAAATGGCAACTCTACATAATGAACTGGGACAAGTTCTATCTCGGCTAGAGGATATGGAGGAAAGAGTGGAGACACTAGCACAAGTAATTATGAAGTTGGAAACGCAAATAGAGGATATGCGTAAGGAGCAAAGAATGATGGCATATAGAATGGAAGATCAAGAGAACAGGGATAGAAGAAATAACCTGAGGATTAGAGGTTTGCCAGAGGATTGGACTGGAGAAGATTTATTGGTGGAAACAATGAAAATATTTAACCCAATAATGGGCCACTGAGTGAACAACTGAAGATACAGTCCACAGGTTTAAACAACCCCCTGGAATAGCTCCATAAGTCCCTAGAGATATAATTGTGCATTTTCCTCATGAAGACAAAGCTAACATATGAAAGAAGTTATGCGGAAATCCAGAAATAAATGAGCAAGGAGTTGGTTTGCAAATTTTTGTGGACATAGCACCAGAGACCTTAGCTGGAAGGAGAATATTGAGACCATTATTAGAGTTGATGCACAAGGGGAATGTTAAATACAGCTGGGGCTTCCCAGCATGCTTGATCGGATGGAAAGACAGACAGTCAGCAAGGTTAAGGTTTCCAGAAGACTTCAAGCCCTTTTGTGAAAGACTGGACTTGCAGATAATAGACATTCCAGGTTGGTCCGAAGGGACCAAAAATAGAGTAGAATTAAAGGAAAATGGGTGGCAATGGGTTTTTAAATAGAAAGTTAGTTGAAGATTTAGTCTGGTGCTTTTTAGAAGGCGTTTTTGAGTCCAGTGTTTTTCAGAGGGTTTCTCTTCCAACTGTGTGAGATATAAAGGTGGTTGTAGAATGAAGGGAGAAAGGGAAGGAAAAGCCCATTCTTTCCCCTTTTTTTTCTCCCCTCCTTCTCCCCTCCACTCTTCACTGTTTGTTCTCATCTAGGAGGGGCATTGGGAGACTTAACCGGTATAGCTGGGTGTCAGGGATCTGAGTCCTACCCCATCAGGAATCAAAAGTGAAATTAGTCACAACAAATTCTTGGCCTAGAATATGGGCCAAAGGGCTAAGGGAGGGGGGAGGGTGTAAAGGAAAAGGGTTTGAGGGTGGGGGGATGGGGGGAGAAGAGGGGGGGAGTGGGGAAGGTTATGATCACCTAGAAGAAAATCTTTCCTGTTTTTTTTAGCTTGTATATATTTGCTTCTTCTCTGTGTTATAGGTCTAAAGGGAGATCAGTAGAGGAAAGGTGATGAATGTATGCAATCCTTTAACATTATATGTTCTAAAGTTAAACACCACGACTAGAAGATATCAGATCCTTAAGGAAATTCATCAATACTCGGCAGACGTGGTGTTCCTACAGGAAACACATTTATCCCAAGATACAGCTATTCTCTAAATACTATCCTACATGGTTCTATGTGGATTCACCAATTAGATGAGCAAAAGGGGTGGCAATTGGGATAGCAAAAAATTTTAGTTTTATGGTAGAAGAAAGTATGGTTGATCCAGAAGGTCGGTATTTGTTTCTGAAAGGGAAATTGCAGGGAATACAGTGTACTCTTGCCAATATCTATTGTCCTAATAGAAATCCAATAGCCTATTTGGAGGAATTAATGAAAAGGCTTATGGATTTTAAGAAGGGTCAGTTGATTGTGGCAGGAGATTTAAATTTTTGTATGGATCCATGGCTGATACATCTTCGTGTGCACAAAGAGACGGACATAATAGTTTAAAATCAATTCAAAAAAGGTTGTATTGGTGTCAATTGATGGATACATGGTGAATTAAACATCCAAGGGACAGACTATACCTTCTTTTCCCCAGCACATGAGATGTACTCAAAGTTGGATTACATAATGATAGAACATAGATACTTGGAATCCCTGGTAATTTCTAAGATTGGAGTAATGTCATTATCAGATCACCCACCTGTTATAGTGAAATTAAAATGGAGAAAGGAAGAAAATAGAAGTAACATGTGGAAATTAAACACTAATTCAAGACCCAGAGGTGGAGATAAGATTAGGGGAGGAGATTTAACAATTCTTTATGCTCAATGAAACGGAAGGGATATCTCTGGCGACAATCTGGGAAGGTCATAAGGCATATATCAGTGGCATTTTGATCTCGATAGGATCTCAAAAAAAAAGAAAGGGAGAAGAAAATAAAATTGCTAACTAAAGAATTATATGAATTAGAACAACTACATACAAAGAAAATAGATGTAGGGATACAACAGAAGTTCATTTTGAAGAGAGTAAATGAAAGACATCATGGAACAAGATACTAGAAGAGTTTTCAATAGAGTGGATAAAGAAAGGTATCAGTGGGGAAATAAACCAGGAAAATATCTGATGAGAAGAGTAAGAGAGAGGAAATCAAGGAATTACATAGAAAAAATAAAAGATGAAAATGGTGAAATGGTTTATTCAACCACTGATATAGCTAGAACGTTCCAAAAATATTATAGTAAGTTTTATGATTTAAAACCCAGTAACCCGAAAGAATCCGAGGGGAAAAGAGAAACCGGCATCAATATTTAAAGGAAGCGGGATTGCCCAGGATAGAGTTAGAGAGATTGTTAGCATTAGAAAAATCAATCTCCCATGAAGAAATAAGTAAGGCATTGAGAAGTACAGCAACAGGAAAAAGCCCAGGAGCAGATGGTTTTATGCTGAGATATTACATGAAGTTTCAAAAACAGCTTATGCTCAAATTGTGTAGATATATGAATGCATTGGGAGAAGGGATGGATATGAAGGAGGAGTCTGCAGGCACATATCACAGTTATACCGAAAGAGGGAAAAGACCCCTCCCAATGTTCTAGTTATAGGCCAATATCACTCTTAAATATAGATACAAAACAATTTGCAAAGGTTTTAGCAAATCGGATGGAGGATCTGATGCTAGATTGGATACAGATCGACAGTAGGATTTGTACCAGGGAGGGAAGGAAGAGGCAATGGATTAAGATTATTGCTCCTTTTGCAAAAACGTATGAGAGGGATTCGGCGCTGATAATGTCGATCAACACCGAGAGAGCCTTTGACAGGGTAGATTGGGGGTTCATGATGATCACACTAGAAGCATTGGG